GATCTAGCAGGCTGATTTTGGGATGTTGATTATTCCAGGAGGGGAGAGATCCTGGCTGTGCCTGTGGCTGTGAAGAGCTTACATAAACCTACACAGGAGGTGACTGTGAGTAACTGAGCTGTTTGGAAAAGTGCTGCTTGGGACAGAGCACAAAAGACAAACTGACTCTGGGTGCAATGAGAGCCAGAGTGATCTGCCCAGGGAACCAGAACGGCTGGCATTTGGTGGGGCTTATTCCAGTAACAGAAAGATTTTGCCGCTGGCTGCTCAGCTTGGACTAACCCACACAGAACCTGCACAGAGCTGTCTCCACTCCAGCCGCAGACTTTCAAGTGCGCCCATGCAAGCGTCTGGGACTCTGAATCCAGAGAAGTGCACGCTCTGGGGTGGGATAAATGGTGGTAGTGCAAATGCCAGATGGATAAGTTTCCTTCCTTTCTGTGTACTTTTTAATTGACAGATCAACAGAGCCAGACGTGTACCCAGAAGCCTCCTGCTACGGGACAATCCCAAGAAAGAAACCAACAGAACACCACTGGCCATCACCTATAGTCCCCAGCTAAAACCTCTCCAACGCATCATTAGTGATCTACAGCCCATCCTGGACAATGATCCCTCGCTTTCACAGGCCTTGGGAGGTAGGCCGGTCCTTGCCCACAGACAACCCGCCAACCTGAAGCATATTCTCACCTGCAACTATACAACGCACCATAATAACTCGAACTCAGGAACCAATCCTTGCAACAAACCGCGGTGCCAACTCTGCCCACATATATACACCAGCAACACCATCACAGGACCTAACCAGATCAGCCATACTGTCACTGGTACATTCTCCTGCACATCTACCAACGTAATATATGCCATCATGTGCCAACAATGCCCCACTGCTATATACATCGGCCAAACTGGACAGTCCCTATGTAAAAGAATCAATGGACACAAATCTGATATTAGGAATTGCAAGCTACAGTTCATCTTTAAGTTTGACACAATCAACTCTGGATTAAACAAAGACTGTGAATGGCTCGCTAACTACAAAAGCAGCTTCTGCTCTCTTGGAATTCACACCTCCAGATCAGCTACTAGAAGTGGGCCTCATCCTCCTTGATTGGATCCACCTCGTCATCTCCAGCCTGATCCTGGCCTGCATATTTATTCCTGCCTCTGGAAATTTCCACTACATGCATCTGACGAAGTGGGTCTTTGCCCACGAAAGCTTATGCTCCTACACTCCTGTTAGTCTATAAGGTGCCACAGGACTCCTCGTCACTTTTGCAGATTCAGACTAACACGGCTACCCCTCTGATACTTTAATTGATTTTGTTCACTTTTAATCTGTTAAACCCGGTTTCTTTAAATTGTTAAGTAAAGGTGTGTTAATTCTAATTTAATCAATTAGATATATCTTATTGATAATCATTGTCTTGGAGTTAGTTCCAGGTTATTACTGGAATAATTTTACTCCTGGAGGCTCCCAAGGCACACCATTAAGTGTGTACAGGGCCGGCCAGGTGGAGGCACCACCATTGTATATTCTTTATGAACAAGGGACTGCAGCAAAGGGGTGGATAGGGAATTCCCAACTAAACAACATCACCACTGGGGTATTCAGGATCTCATTTTATGTTAAAAACATCAGGCGCCCAGGCACACCTGTGAGTGTGACCAGCTCCCAAGTAACCCAGGGAGGAAAAAAGGGCGTTACACATTTAAAATAGATCTGAATTGCCATGGAGAGCCCAAGTCATGGATGAGGACTCAGTTATCCTGGGCACTGTATGATAAACACAGAACAATGATAATCCCTGCCTCAAGAGGTTGCAATCTAATATAGAACAACACGTTGGCAGACGTGGATGGGAGAAAGGATCAGGCATTTTCATTTAGGTCCACTTCTATCTGCAATGCACTGCACTGCAGCTCATAATACCGTAATAGTTACAATACTGTGCTACGATTAGAACGATGATTTCCTAGTAGCTTAAACACTTGCTATGGATCCAAGGTCTGAGCTGAGCCTCCATTCTGAAAAACTAAGTCAACAGCATTAAAAATGAGTAAATAGAGCAACATCACAGCTTTCTGTCTCTGCAGCATAGATTCTGGTATATTGCTGTACATCTCAGTCTTTAGACAAGTTGTTAAAAAAAACAAAAAACAAAACAAAAACAAAAACGGAAGCTGCTAAGAGCTAATGAAAGAGCACTTGGTCCTTTACTGTTTTGTTTTACGCTTGCCAATTAGTTAGTATGTTTTATTTCTCTAATTTGGCAGGAATCATAACAGTCTTCACTGGCCTGAAACATTTTCATTGCATTTTGACAACGCTACATAATACTTAGCACTAGGATGTTTCACCTTCAGAAGCAATAGATTTTTGTAACTTTAAGTCCCTCCAAAATTTAGAGGCAGATCAGTATTATCTCATTACAGGAGGCAATACTGAAGGTCAGAGAGATGATTAAGTGGTGTGTCCAAGATCAGAGTCAATGGGACGGCAAGGATTAGCAATGAGGAAGTCACAATTCCTGCACCGCTGCCATTCCTTTAGGCTACGCCATCTCTTCATGGTCACCACAGAAACGGTCATGGTCAGACAAAAATCACATTAGGAATTTTCTTTTTTAATGGAATCTTCAAGTCAACAAGCTGTAAGAAGGTGTGCAGAAGTGAAATCAATGGGAGCACTTATATGCAAGGAGTGGACACAGTCCAGATATCTTCCTCTGTGAAAACACTCTCCTAAATAAGGCGGCACAAGCGGATCCAGAGCATAAATTGTCAGATAGAGATTAAAGAGCTACTTTAAATTTGTTTCTTTTTACGTGACAGAGACCTTCTGCAGATCATCAAGATGCAGGCTGCTCGGTTTGCTGATTACACTGCTGTTGGAAGTGATGGCTTCTCTCACTCTGTTCAGACTATGATAGATATTTTGAGCTTGAAGAAACAACTTAAAATGATGCAAACATCTAAGACCTGGTCTAATTATAGACAGTGCCAACTGCCTCTTGGAAGTAAGCCTTAAAAGGCAGATTTTTTTCCTCCTCAGCGATGCGTGGTATGAAAAGACAAGTCCACCTGGAGCAGGCATGGAAGAATCACAGTGCTACAAACTGCCCGAAACACCACAGCCCACGTTACAACCCTTGCCCAGTCAGACCCCATTACTGCTCCCTCCTGGAATTGCTCAAGGACATGACTTTAAGCTATGTGTCCAGTTTCAGCTCCTTTCCTGGTTTTCAAAGCTTTGCACAGCTTTTCCATAGCCTCTCTCTCAGATCTCAATTTATTACATGCACCCTCTCTGCACCTTGCATTACCACTCTCTCTCTCTTCATGCTCCCTTTGTTACTGTCTTCCACTTCCATCTTTGCGGGTACGTTTATACTACAGAGCTTTTAGCAACAGGGCTGTGGCCACACAGTCCTGTCACTAACAGTTCATGCGTGTGAAGGCTGTTTGGCAGCCCTTTTGGGGCACGTCTACACTACTTGAAATAAACTAAGCAATTTGAGCTATGCAAGTTGCATAGCTTATTTCGAGTCGATTTTGAAATAGCTTATTTTGAAATTTGGCACTGTTTACACAGCACTTATTTTTAAATAAATCCGAAACATCCCTTACTCGTCACGGAATGAGGCTTACAGGGACGTCGGAATAACGAGCCCATTATATTTCGAAATAACGGGCGTGCTCAAAAGATGCAGAATAGCTATTTTGAATGCTTCCAGTATCCCAAAATAGCACTGCAGTGTAGACGTAGCCTTGGAGGCCAAAATACTTCCACCCCTTATCAGGGGAGGGAGATGTTCGCTCTGTTGGCAGGAGAATGCTACTGTGGACAAAGCAATGCTCACAGGGAAATCTTTGTCATTCATTTGCAGAGAGGGAAGTTAAACACCAGCCATATGCTTTCCAGGCACTTTCTTCTTTAGGAAGACTCACAACAACAAAAAATCCACACAAAGTGAAGTAAGTCTTTGCTCCAGTCCCCAAGAGTGTGTTGGCTTTCTACCAATTTTTCTGCATTGTAATCCTAATGCAGAGATTATCTCTATCTGATAAGGATATTCATGGTTTAGCCTTCCCTCAGAGTCTGAACTGCCCCTGCACTTTTCCAGCCCAGTCTTACAACACACCATGGAGCTTCTACTGAAAATGCCTGAGGTTGTTTCATTCAATAGCCTTGATTGTTACTGCCAAGGAGCACAAGTAGCCTAGAGGGAATAGCTATAAGAAGAGAGGTGCTGACCCCAGGTGGGAGTGCACGGTTTCGGGGCACTTTTCACAGACTGATGGAGATTACTCCGGGGCTACGTCTACACTGGCCCCTTTTCCGGAAGGGGCATGTAAATTTCACTAGTCGTCGTAGGGAAATCCGCGGGGGATTTAAATATCCCCCGCGGCATTTAAATAAAAATGTCCGCCGCTTTTTTCCGGCTTTTAAAAAAGCCGGAAAAGAGCGTCTACACTGGCCCCCTTTTCCGGAAGGGGCATGTAAATTTCACTAGTCGTCGTAGGGAAATCCGCGGGGGATTTAAATATCCCCCGCGGCATTTAAATAAAAATGTCCGCCGCTTTTTTCCGGCTTTTAAAAAAGCCGGAAAAGAGCATCTAGACTGGCCCCGATCCTCCGGAAAAAGTGCCCTTATACAAGAATAAGAGCCTCCGGAAAAGGGCACTTTTTCCGGAGGATTGGGGCCAGTCTAGACGCTCTTTTCCGGCTTTTTTAAAAGCCGGAAAAAAGCGGCGGACATTTTTATTTAAATGCCGCGGGGGATATTTAAATCCCCCGCGGATTTCCCTACGACGACTAGTGAAATTTACATGCCCCTTCCGGAAAAGGGGCCAGTGTAGACGTAGCCCTGGTGTTTCAGCCTCATTTCTACTTGGTTATTTACATGAGGTTTCCCCCGCACTCTCCAGCCATTACAGCTGGATAAAGGGGGCCAGTTCTCTGCTGCCCTGCCCCTTGTGTAGCCATTGACACTCACCACGCACTGGAAGTGTAAAACGCTAGCACTTCAGAACAGTGGTGTCCGACACGCTGCAAGTACTGGTAAAGAATGACTGTCCAAGATGCCTAGCAAAGGAGAATCAGGCCCTAACACCTTTGTTTTTCCCTCAGCTTTACTGTCAGATGTGTGTCACAATTGCTGTTTGTGAGATCTGTGGGGCAGCAATCAATCACACTTCCCTTTTGGTCTTGCACAAGGCCAGACATGATATGACTGAGTTTAAATGGCTGTTAAAGCAATGCTGGGGCAGTCCTTTGGGTGCAAGGGCTGTCAAAATCTACACTGTTATTCCTACTTATTGTTTGAAGCTTGGTCTCCAATTGCTTATGGTGGATTTTACACTTCAGAAATAAATCAAGTACCACAAAGCAGGAGGGATGATGCAATCCATCCTGAAGTTCCACAGCACACAGACCCTGCAACCAAATGCAAATTGAGGCAGTGTGCCTTCCCACAGTGTGCACAGATGTCCTAGCATTGCATGCACACGAGAGGCTGCACTCCACGCCACACCTTGCAAGCACAGGATTATTCCCTACAGTGTTTCTCCAGACTGTTTAAATTATTCAAGCGATGGGTCTTTCATCGTTTCCCTCGACAGCTTGGCTCAGAATTAGCTCCATTAGACACAATGGAAGCTCAGTTGCAGAGCGCTACATTGCTCCATAAGGACATTTCATGTGTGAAACAGTCATTTTAAAAATGCAACAGCATTTTATATTACAGGGGCATTTCTGAACGTATTTTCTGGCTGTGGTCACATGAAAGAAATGTGTCAGGGCCAGCAGCATGCTGGAAGTATGGGAAAACAAGGTAAGAGGGTTGAGTCAGTTTCCACCTGGCTTTGGAAATGGTTTAGCCACCAGGGGAAAAAGGCATGAATGTTCCTGAGGCGGGGAGGGTGGGACTTTTTACCATTTTACCATTACTACTCCTGGATCCTCATGATGGCAGTGGCCTACGGGGACAGCTGCCTTTTTCCTGGTGGGCAGAGTTGGGGACTGCCCCCTGAAAGAGTGCTGTGACCAAAGCCCAAACTAATTCAGAACTACAGGCTGGGCTTGCAGGACAGACAAAGGAAAACAGGGAGTGTGACACCAACTTCAGACTCAGTAACCACAGATTGTAACTCAGTCTGGACCCCATTGATCAGCAGAGCTACTGGCAACAAGGGGCACAAAAATACCTATTTTAGGAAAAGTTTCCCCACTCCCAACACAGCTGGGGTAGTATTAGTGTGAGAGGAGATTTAGCCCATCAGCTCTGTCCTCTTATTCACATGGGTGTCTTAGATATGCATGAAGTACGTATCTTATAATCTTTCAATGGATGTATATACTGTACACAAAATATTACACTGGGAGGGTATTTGGGTACTTTCTCTGCTATATGAGAAGATGCCAAGATGAGCACACTGAACATACACAACAGGTCCAATTCTCCCGAGTTACTGTACACAAGAGCACTTCCAACGATGTTGGGCTGGAATGACTGGAAGAGGAAAACTTGGCCCAGCATGGTTAATACCCACAGCAACTATTTACACCCAAGTTCTACCCAGCATTGATAATTTTCTAAGTAATAAATACTTCTGAGACTTGTTTATCCAGCAATAGTTTTGCACAGCTGTAAAGAACCTACAGGAATTCCCTGGGACCTACGGTTCATACCAACTCTAGGACTAACTAAACTCTTAGGCTGTGTCTACACTGGCATGAGTTTCCGGAAATGCTTAAAACGGAATACTATTCCGTTTTCAGTTTTTCCGGAAAAGGAGCGTCTACATTGGCAGGCTGCTTTTCCGGAAAAGCCCTTTTTCTGGAAAAGCGTCTGTGGCCAATGTAGATGCGCTTTTCCGGAAAAGAGCCCCGATCGCCATTTTCGCGATCGGGGCTTTTTTCCGGAAACGACTACTGGGCTGTCTACACTGGCCCTTTTCCGGAACAGTGTTCCGGAATAAGGACTTATGCCCGAGCGGGAGCAGAATAGTTTTTCCGGAATAGCGGCTGATTTTGTACAGTAGAGCATCGTTGCTTTTCCGGAAATTCAAGGGCCAGTGTAGACAGCTCACAGCTTATTCCGGAAAAGCGGCTGATTTTCCGGAATAAGTGGCCCAGTGTAGACACAGCCATATGGTTTAGAATAGCATTTTTCAATGACTCGCTCATGGATGAAGACCTGTCTCTGAGATCTCCCTGATTCAGTTTAGGGTCACAGTAAGGTATCAAAAAGTTAAGAAACACTGGTCTAGAAGATAAAGATGCACTATCCTGATTAGACAGATTAAAAACCAGACAATGCACTGTGAACCTTCTGATGTTCACCATAACTTAGGGAGCACACTTCTTCAGAATAGTTTGGTAGCATTGCTCCCATGGTAAAACCCTACTTCCTGCTATGCTGTACATTGCCTTCAACAAGAAGTGAATTAATATGCAAAGCTCCAGGAGAAAGAAATCATTGGCATTTTAAGCTACTGATGTGCCTCTGGGGAATTGCAAGATGGATGCATTAGACTCCTGAAGTCATTTCCCAAGCATGATAATCAACAAGAGCATGTTGGAAACACATATTAGCTATTCTTGTGCGCTGACACAGACACTAGAGTTTATACTCCATTTTAGCTGTGCATGATCAGTATGGAAAAATACACAATCCCTTGATTACTCCAACTCATCAGAACTTGTTACATCCTATGGCATTCTTTAAAACAAAACAAAACAAACAAAAGCCAAGGCATCGGGGTGCACAATTTTAATGAATAAAAGTCAATAGCTTAACATCATAAGAAATGTCCTGTATAGGATGAAATCAGACCTTCTCACTTGTGTCATATGCCCCATATTGCTAACAGGTACAGGGATTTTTCCTTTAGCTGAAGAAGGATCCTCTTGTTTCAATGGTGCAAGCCCTTCCAATGCCATCACATTCAGAGCAGCCAGGGAATGCAGCAAAACCACTGGCAAGTCCCAGATGGCCAATGCTTTGTGACTGTGTTTGACACAGAAGGACGTGTGTAAACTCCCAGGTATGCTATAGAAATAAAAATACACACTGCAGTGAGTACGTATTTTGGTTTAATAGGACTTTGTGCAGTTTCTGTCATCTAAACTTAATGTGCTAAGTACTTTCCATGAGGTCTACAATAGATGCATTTTATAAGATTGTACTGCATAGGAAATCTCTCCAACGCCTAATGGGAAACACTGCTAGAATCAGCAAAGATTTTCAAATTGGTCGATACTAGGAGCCCCATACTCAGCTGATGGAAATTAGAACCGCTCCATTAAGCCGAAAGAGCAACATGAGTTTACAATCTTTATAAGTGCACACTGTATTAGTCCCAAACAACGCACTCCATTAGCATAATAGCAGCCCCGTCACTTGAATCCTTTACAGAACAAGCGACTAGCCACTAAAAAAAGAACTGGAAAAGTTCACGACGCATAGCTCCATCATGGCCATTAGCTAACATGGTCAGGGATGCAAGCACTTGCTCTGGGAGCTGCTAAAGCTTTGATTGCCAAATACTAGGAGCGGATGACAACAAGGATCACTCATTTTCCCTGTTCTGTTCATTCCCTGAGAAGCATCTGGCTTTAGCCATTGTAAGACGTTGGGATACTGGGCTAGATGGACCACTGCTCTGACTCAGTACGGCCATGCTTATGTTGCAAAGACTCTGCACTAGTGGAGAGAATAGATATAGGAAGTCTTATACCTCTGTCTCCTCTGATTGTCCATCTTTCAGGATAATGTCTGAGTGTCTGTATTATACTTTACAAGGGCTGTCAAGTGATTAAAAAGTAACCACAATTAATCATGTGACTAAAAAAATTAATATTAGAGCACCATTTATTTAAATATTCTACATTTTCAAATATATTGATTTCTAGATTTTGGAAGGCATTTCAGATTCTTACATCTTGGGTGGAGTGCTGTAGCTATCTTTAGCAATCTTACATTGGTACTTTCTTTGATTTTTGTCAAATTTGTAGTGCTGGGTCATCCTCCAAAACTGATATATATGGAAGAATGCAGGTAAAACAGAGCAGAAGACATACAATTCAGGAGTTCAGTCACAAGTTTAATTAACACATTGCTTTTTTTAACAAGCGTCAGCATGGAACCATGTCCTCTGGTTGGGTGGCCAAAGCATGAAGGGACATATGAATTTTTAGCACATTTGGCACATAAATACCTTGCACTGGTGGCTACAAAAGTCCCATGAGAACATCTGTTCTCATTTTCAGGTGACACTGTAAATAAGCAGGCAGTGGTACCCCCCATAAATGTAAACAAATTTGTTTGCCTTAGCAGTTGGCTGGAAAAGAAATAGGACTTAGTGGATTTGAGGGCGCTAAAATTTTACATGATTTTATTTTTGAGTGCAGCTATGTAACAAAAAAAATCTATATTTGTAAGTTGCACTCTCATGGGAAAGAGACTGCACTACAGTACTTGTATGAGGTGAACTGATAATTGTTTTTTTACTGTGCAAATATTAGTAATCAAAAAGAATATAAACATTGTACACTTTGTATTGTGTTGTTGTTGTAATTGAAGTCAATATATGTGAAAATGTAAAAATATCCAAAAATATTGAATAATTTTCAACTGCCATTCTATTGTTTAACAGTGCGATTAAAACTATAATTAAATCAGGATTCATTTTAAAAAATGTAATTGCATGTGTTAACTGTGATTAATTGACAGCCCTATAGTTTGCACAGGGTTGCAACTTCCATATGGAGTTAAACTAATGCACAGTGATTTTGTTCTCTGCAGTTCTAAGTTCATATGTAGAATTTATGTGATGGGGAGATCCAAAGGCGTCTGTCCTCCCTCGTGTCTGGCATAGAATGGAGAAATCCTAGAATACTCTTCCTTAATATTTACACAGGAGTCCAAGGTTTTGTTCAGCTCTCTCCCATGAAAGTGATCTCCTGGTAATAAGAAAGGTATACATTCACTTGGACAACCCATAGGCAGCCCCTGC